AATGATTAAATTTACTATTTCCAGTAAGTAAAATATCCTGGTGCATATCAAATAAAAATTTTCAAAAAAAAAAAAAAAAAAAAAAAAAATATATATATATTTGTGACACGTTAGTTGAGTAAAATTAGCAAATTTAAAGTTAAATTAATCTGATATAGCATAAAAAATAATTTTTATTTCTATAAGTAAGTAGACAAGCATTTTTTAACGACGTGTTCTGTTATTTTTTTTTCATCTTTATTGACGTATCGATAAGTCCCTATGTGATGACAGCTAATATGGATGACCAGAACTGACTTAAATTTACGAAATCTAAGTGAACGCTTTTTTTTTTCGTTTTTAACTACCTAGTAATTTTTACAAATTAACATTTTCAGCAATTATCTAATATTTTGACTTTTAGTTATGTTTGAAGATGCCTTATGAAAAAATTTAAAGTACTATAAAATTTTTCTTAATTTTAAAATTTAATAAGTGAAATTAAAATAAAGATAAGCAAGAAAATTAACACATTGATATGGAAATTTTTTTATAATAATTAAAATAGTTTAATCGTTAATTAACATTAGCTAAAAAACATTTTTCTATTTTCTTCAATTCAAGTACGTAACCTTTTCATAATAATGCCATCTTTAGGCTATCATAGATGAAAAAAAAGAACAATTAAAAAAAAGTAAATTATTTTTAAAACAGTAAAACAACGTTTATTTTTTATTTTTATTTTTCAATTTTGGTTTCATAATTTCGTTTCCATTTACTTACAATATCATATCCAGGAAATAGTAATACTTTTAATTTTAAACGATTTTTAAACTATTAGAAATTATTATAATTAGAACTTAAGCAAACATGAAAAAAGTCTTGTAAAAATTCATTATTCGTCGAAAAATTTGTATTTCTTCAGTCAATAGTGTCCTTCATATAGCTTTTTTACAAAAGCAATTAAAAGCCTTTCTATTTAAATAATGTCAAGATTTGATTACATTTTTTACTTTACTATTCGAAGTAGATTCCCAGTTAGAACAGTAAAAGTTAGAAAAAATAGAATTAGATGATTTACATTCTCCAAGGCGTCCTACTTTTAGCTAATAAAAAAAAATTTGGAAATAAAACGGAATTTCGCGAAATTTCATGAAATTAAGGAAGTAGGGGGTAACATGTAAAAGAAAAAATACATATTACTCGGATTTTCTAAAACAAAAATTTCAAAAATAGTTTCATTAAAATCCGAGAATTATTTGATTTTTGCAAGAATCTCCAAATCCTTGTATTTTCACCGGAAAAAGCGCCAAACAGTAATTGTAATTATGACGTCCACCGATGACATAAACAAAACAAGATTTTGAACCAAAAATTCGAACGTGCTAGATAGGATTAAAAAATTTCAAAAAATACTTTGGTCTTTCATCTTAATAACAAACATTTTGACGATAAAACTATTTTTATTAAGTTTGTGACCTTTTTCATTATGCTATACTGTTCCGTGAAAATGTGGAGGTACCTAGCATAAAACAAAAGATTTCGAAGAAAAACATTTTCCCCAAACACGAACTGGAAAGTTAAAAAATTAACTTAAAAAAAAAAAATGACCGTGTAAGGATGTTATCGTTTTTTCCCCGCCCCCAAAAGGTTGTTGAGACGTTCCTATTCATTTAAAAAAAATTAGGTGGGTGCCTTGTTTCTGCCTTGTACAATTCGTTTCCTGAAAGTTTTTTCCAGTTTTTTTTTTAATTGTAAAAAGTGTGATCTTTTTTGTAACTGAATCTTTTGTCTCTTCCTAAAAAATAAAATTAAAATAAATTCCCCCTTTTCGATGGTAATCCTTTTTTGAAACACCAGAAATTTATCCTGTCTTAATAGACACACAAAGGGGAATTTTTGTATTTGTACCCTTTTTGCCTTAACTTGTACAATAAATGTTTTCCTTTTGAAATTATGCGCAATGGTTAAGTCTTATTTTGTGATTTGCGCCTATTTTGACATCAAGAAGAGAAGCACGTGTTCTATTTCTCCTTTCCATTCCTACTAAATTGTGTGTATAGCACACAAACTTAGGTTTGGCAGGGAGCTAAAAAGTTTCATATTATACGCAAAAACGAATTGGTATTTGTGTAATTTTGCTATTAGATTATCATAGGTTTAGATAGGGGCGCCATTTTAATGGCATGTCATTGATACCACTTTCCGTAAATACGACGCCGATGCTCAGGATAATCTTTTAGGGGGTTAAATACAGACTTCCATGTTCAGCCATAATTTCAATTGTTAAATATCTAAAAAATTTAATGTGATGTTAGTGCCATTAAATTGATGTATCTCAAAAACCGTTGAAAATCAAATCAAGCAGTTTTATTAAAACAATTATAGCACAAAGCCAATGGGGAAAGGCTGGTAGACACTTTCTATCCTTGACCTAGCTAATCTGATTTACGACTCATTCATTCATTACAATTTGCTCATTCACCAAAAAAGCTCATCCCTCACGATTCAGTACGACATATACCATAAATTCACAGGGAACCTAAAAAAAAAAAAAAACACTATATAAAATTTCAATATAGTGATTTTCCAAGCGTAGCTCAGATGTGGCACAACGCCGAAAGTATGGGGCCCCCACTGAGGATCGAACTCGCTACTCAGTTGTAATTGTTCTAGCAAGACAAGCTTGCTAACCATTACTCCGCCTCAAGGTGCCCAAATTGGTAGTTTACCCCGGTAGTAGGGGTCTGTTTACAGTACCAGGTGTTCCCAAGCGGTCCCCCATGATGCTTAACTTCGGCGAAACCGGTGTTCTCATCGTGATTTGACCGTAAGCATAAAATTTCAATATATACAAATAGTTCAAATGCCTCTCTTTCCACTTTTTTTAAAATACAAATATATGCCCACGAAATGAGAGGGGTGGGGGAAAAACCTGGAAAATAAAACTAAAGTATAAACAAACCGTTCAAAAAACCTAACAGATATTAGTAGGACCCAACCACCCAACAAAAATAAGAGTGGCCGCTATATTCTGCCTTTAAACAGAATCAAGAAACACACTCACTAACGGAGAGGATACTTACCTTGTGTAGGGATCCGTCCCTGTGCTGGTGGTATCACGGCTACGACTAGCTTGGACCGGTTCTGACCAGTTTGGATCAGCTATGACCAGCTTAAACCAGCGGCCCGAGTGAAAACACTCGGGTCCCCACGTTAAAAAACTGACTTTGTGTCACAACCTGACTCTGGGGCGGGGGTCAAGTAAATCTCACTCACTAACGGAGAGAGAAGAATAACAAAAATAATTAAAAAATACGCAGTCGGGGAAAAAACAAAGGCGGAACCAGTGGAGATGTAAAAAGGGATAAAAAAAAACTGGGGAATTTGAAAATCTTGACATGGATCATAACAAAAGAGAGAGAGCTGGGAACAGGTCAAGAACAACATTTACTCACATTAACTAGGTAAACAAAGAGTGTCTAACTGAACCAGGGGAGAGTTCACAGGAAACCGACCCGTTGCGTCAAAATGGACTTAAAAAAGAAAATTGATGCTAGCCTAATTCACTCACAGAAAACTTGCCACTTTTACCCACCTTTCGCTTTCAAACGCTTTCTTTCAGTTCTGATCTTCATCTTGAGCTGATGCAGAATGAATCTGGTCAGAACATAGCGTTCGTATTGCGAGATTTTCTCCATTCGCTACATCCATACCTTCATTCTTGCCACGGCTAGCAACATGAAAAACACCATTCGTGTCACCACAGAGAACGGAAGGTCAGGTAAGCGAAAACTCAAAATTGTTAAGGTAATCCGCCACTGGCACCCAAGACCAGAAAGAGCGCAGCTCTGTCGCCGACAATCCGAGCTGACCACAAAAAGGATCCTTCGTGACTCCCTTCACTAATTCCCGATACAATAGCCTCCTAGGCTGTGAAAGGTCAGTGGATCGAAGAATGACTAGCAAGGCCTCACGACACTCTCCAAGGAAACGTATTCCGAGGCCTACGACGGCGCTCTACTCTAGAAACGAGTGGAGTGATGGTAATGCTAGTGAAGACGTCTCTAAAACTCCCCTCCAAGATAGTTTCTGTCAATGCGCGGCATAGGAAAGCCAACCTCGAGGCGTGCCGATGACTCGCTAAGTGTGGCAACCCTAGCCTCTCTGTCCATGACACGGACGCTGGAAACAGACTTTTTTTGCAGACCTGATGCTTGCGGCCACCCTACAAGAGAGTGAGGCGCAAGCTCACGATCGCCTTCCTATGGTCTCTACAAAGAGGGAGTAGAGCCAACTAGTAAAGGATGAGAAGGAAGATTACGTGACGCAAGCTTCATCCTTACCCTTCGGAGACAAGTATGGACCGCCGCTCCAACATTTGCCTCTACCTCCGACAAATAGTAAATCGATTTCGCCTTCAAATACCAAATTTAGTTTCCTTGATAATACAGTGTGGTTCGATTGCCGATATTTAACAGTCCCCCCACGAGGAATGTATGTGACACAAGGCCGGGTTTAACGTGGGTTTCTCCGAGCCCGTAGGCTCGGCCAAAAATATTCCCTTTGAACCTGCATAAGCGGTTTTGGGATCTGTCTACCTCCCCGGACGAAACTTCGCCCTTCGACAGAAGTCGCACACAGTCCGAGACTGTGGGTTGACTGCCTCAATTATAGCAATTTTCCAAGCGTAGCTTAGATGTGGCACAAGGCCGAAAGTATGTGGTACCCAGTGAGGATCGAACGTACTAATCAGTCGTAAGTGTTCTAGCGAAACAAGCTTGCTAACCATTACACCGCCCCGAGGTGCCCCAGTGAGATTCGATTGCGAGCGAATTCTGGCGCTCCTCGACTATAAATACGTGAAACTCGTGGGTGCATGTATGCGCTTCCGGTCGTTGTGTTAAATACTTGTTTAAATTGAAAATGCTACCAATTTTTTTTTTTTTTTACAACAAAACACATTATGTAATAATTTAACACAACACAAATATATTGCATTTTTTTTGTTGTACTTTTGTTTAGTTTATTCCTTTATTCTTACAACGATCGTTGTAAATGGTTTTCACCAAAGTGGCTCTATTACTGCCATAAGACATTCTGTAAGCGAGATGTTCATCTGTGTAATTTTTCACCACATTGATGACGTCGCGCCATTTCTGATTGCTCCAGTTTCCATTGACTAAATTCAGTAACTCAATCTTTTTGTGCTCATCTATCAAAACATCTTCCACTTGTTTTTCTTGCATGCCGGAAAATTTCACGTCCCTTAGAATGATGACAGGTCCCATATAAAACCAGCCGCCATATTTAGGGTGCAAGCTTATACCATAAATTTTCTGATTTAAGAAAAGACAAAATAAACAACTGATAAAATATACAATAAATATTTTTCTTTAAAAATACAAGAAATAAATGGTAATTATATTATATATTCTTAGTAAAAACAACGTCTTTAAAAGAAAGAAGAAATTGTTCTAACTCGGCTTTTAAAATACGGCATGAGAAAATTCTTTTTATTTCATTTTGAAATAAGAAATTGCCAATATACTTTTAATTTATTCGAACTATAGTTCTCATTTTGATTATTATTCATGTTATTATAGACACTGTTTCGGCCAAGTATACTTTGGCCATCTTCAGGTGTCCATTGTTTTGGACTGAAATGGCCAGCGGGTAGTTGGCTGGCCCCATTCACTCGCAGCAAACTCTCCATTTTTACCCACCTTTCGCTGTCGATAACAAACGTTTCAATATAAAATACAAGAGGAAACTGAATGAAAATTAAATTGTTAAAATCATTGAATGGAATCTGAGAAATAAAAAATTAGAAAAGTGCACAGTAAGTTTCTGAACATTCTGTTTTTGAAAGATAATATGGTTAATTTGCAGTTTAGCATCCGCGCTCCGTTCGCATTGAAAGTTTCCTTAATACTTACATTTATGTGTAATTGTACATGCTTCCTTCGAATCTGGCTTGATAAATTTAATAAAATCTACCGTTTTGGAGTTATCGACAATAAAATTTCGGATTCATTCGCATCGTTGGCGGAAAGCTAAGTGCGAAAGAGAACGTAGTTAATGGCCTTGTTGACTGACCTTGCTTCTCTCAACCTATCTCAATTACTGTGCAAGAGGACTATATTGCGTACGCAATAATCAAGTGAATATTCCAATCATAGCTATCCCGCAGCGAATGTATGCAAACAACGCCAGTAATGGCTGCCGTGAAGCGGATGAATCCGAAGTTTTACTGTCGATAACACTAAAACGGTAGATTTTATCAAATTTATCAAGCCAGATTCGAATGAAGCATGTTCAATTACACATAAATTTAAGTATTCTAGAATTTTTAATGCGGACTGAGCGAGGGTACTAAACTGCAAATTAATCGATAATGGTCTAACCAAGAAGCTAATCAGAATCAAAAGAAAAATTAATTTCCGTATATAAAGTTTTTAGGAATTTGAAAACATTAATTAGTACTTTTTTCGTCACTCATTCTCATCGAACCGCTTATTGTATACGAAAAATGTAAACTAAACAGATTTACAATTCTCTTTAAATTCCAATATTTCTCAGATGTTTCAAAGTCTGTTAGTAAGCTTAAGGATTAATTAAATGGATTTTCTTAAAAAAAAAAAAAAAAAAAAAAAAAACTGGTGGAAGGGGAGTAAAAATAAAAACCAAAGTTCGGAAGACCAACAGTGCAATAATCAAGAATTATTTAAAACTAAATTTTATTTAACATAACCAATTGTTAAATATATTTTTTTTTTAATTACTGTAATGGTTTTATTTTTTGTACTAACTGAACAGGAGATATAAAAATAGTTGTAGTCAGTCAACGCGAGATATCAGAATTATTTTTCCTTTTTGTACACCTATACCAAAAATAATCTTATAGTTGCTAAAATGATAAAATAAAATATTTTTTTAAAAAATGGTTCAAACTCGAAAATGACATTAAATTTTACATTTTTTTTAAGAATCTTCAAACATGTATGTCTTTAATAAAATAAACTCTTGTGATGAACAGCAATGGGATGAATTTCAAAATCGCACAAATATTTTTCTTTTAAATAAATACTAAGTTTATTTTTTTCTGTTGCATCAGAAAGAAAATAACGTGTTTTATTAAATTATATAAGCACCAATTATCCAAAAAAATATTTTTGAGTTTCATTGAATTGTTTTGGCAAGATGCTGGCCGAACTTTTCGACAAGGAGGTGGGAAACATACCCCAAAAGATATTTTTCTAAGGATTTTTAATAAAATAAATTCATTAAAATGACTTCATTAATGAAGTCCTGAAAATTTCGTTTGAATCGATAATTCCCTGATTTTTTGGTAAATATTTTAAAATGGCGTGGGGGGGGCGATTTTCAGTGGAATATTTTCAGGGGGAATATCCGTTTTGGTGGTACCTACCTACTGTACTGTTTCTGCAAGAGTTGCTATTAACCTCTTTACTCTTCTGTTTTAGTTTTACTGTACACTATCAAATAAAAAATAAACTTTCTCTTTCAGCTCCTCTATAACTGCGGCAAACTACTTTTTTGGAATACTTAATAAACGTCGTTTTTTTTTTTTTTTTTTTTTTACGATTACATCCGTCTCCAATCAGAGGTGAAATTTATGTTTTTTCTATGGTTTTGTTCTAAATATATTTCATCTTCAAGCCCGACGGGATGATTTTTTTTTTTTTTTTTTAAATAAAAACTCCAGCCATTAGTATGGCGGGACGCTGAGTACTGACAGCTCTCGGCTTGGGGAACCACAAAAAACGAGTAATTTACGACAGTTTTGAACGTCAGATTCGTTCAAAAAATATATTCTCAACACTAGAGCCTGTCAATGCAACAACAAATCGACGGTTTACTCACTCGTTCAATACCACGAACCAATTAAAGCAAGCTCAGAACACGACCTCGATATTGAGATTCTGTGGTTTACACACCCGAAAAGTCCCGGCGAGGGTAGTTAAAAAAAAATGAGTAACTTGCGACGGTTTTGAAGGTCAGATTTGTTCAAAACAAATCACAAACCATAGGAAAAAAATTTCACCTCTAACAAGAGATGGATGTAACAGTAATGTCTTCAGTTTCAAAACATGAACTAATAAGAACTTCGGTAGACTACAGTACACTGTACACGAAAATGAAAACTTGTAAATATTTCCAAGATTGAATCAATAAGTTCGTATCTTGGCAACTATTAGCTGGATTTGCTATGAAATGTCACTGTAACGTTCTGTCTATTAATAGATAAAAGAAGTCTTTGGTTAAGTACGTCGACAATGTTGGAGATTATGGCAAAGTAGCATTATTTCATCATTCCATTACAGATTTATTGACGAAGCTTCATGAGATTAGCTTAAATACCGGACCACCCAAAGATGATAGGATCAAAGAGCCTACAAAATGGACCTTCATAACAATATTTTGTGATAGGAGGGTTTAGGTCAGAAGACTTCCATTGACAAATAATTTTAAACGCTTAATTCAATAATAATTATAAAGACTTTACACCCAATACATTTTTTAAATGTTGATATTGACAATAGTAATATTAAAGATTAAATGTTTCAATAGAATGACGAAATAAAATCTAAAAAAAAAAAAAAAAAAAAAAAAAAACGTTGTTCAATGTTTTTTAACAATTTGATGTCGTTCTATCCTACAAGAAACGCACTAAGCGATTTTTAAAATCATGTTTTTTGATATGGTGATTATATGAAATAAAATTGTAGTGGTCTGCCCGTGGCTAAATACGGACATACTTCTTGCCAATTTTACAAGTCGGCAGGGCCGATGCGTACAACCCCCGAAGCCCACCACCCGGATGGTAGGGATGGGGTTGCTGATTGAAGGCCCTCGCATAACTGACTAAAAAATGAAAAATTTTCGGATTTTTTTTTTTCTCTAAATCCATGAATTTGTTTTGCAGTTTGCTCATGCAAGTCTCAAGAAAGAAAAAAAACACTAAAATTCACTATTTTTTATGCATAATGTTGAAAGTGTAAAAATTATTCAACTTTTTAACAAGAGAAGTTTTCAGTTGATGTAAAAAAAAAAAAAAAAAAAGACATGTCGTAAAGCATTGATTTATTTATGTTGAAATTATATTTATTTAAAAGAAAAATATTTGTGCGATTTTGAAATTCATCCCGTTGCTGTTCATCACAAGAGTTTAAAATAAAGACATGTTTGAAGATTCTTAAAAAATGTAAAATTTAATGTCATTTTCGAGTTTGAACCATTTTTTAAAAAAATATTTTATTTTATCATTTTAGCAACTGTAAGATTATTTTTGGTATAGATGTACAAAAAGGAAAAATAATTCTGATATCTCGCGTTGACCGACTACAACTATTTTTATATCTCCTGTTCAGTTAGTACAAAAAATAAAACCATTCATTACAGTAATTTAAAAAATATATTTAACAATTGGTTATGTAAGAAATAAGGTTAAAAAAATTTAGTTTTAAACGTAAATAATTCTTGATTATTGCACTGTTGGTCTTCCGAACTTTGGTATTTATTTTTACTCCCCTTCCACCAGGTTTTTTTTGGGGGACAGAGGGTAGAAAGGTGTTTTTCTACCTTGTCCTTTGACCTCAAAGGCTAGCGTGCGTAAATAAAACGTTATTTTTATTCTGTTTTAAATAAAAAAAGGTAATCATTACTTTTTTTTTTAGAAAATCCATTTAAGTAATCCTTAAGTTTACTAACAGACTTTCAAACATCTGAGAAATATTGGATTTTAAAGAGAATTGTAAATCTGTTTAGTTTACATAATGACCTGACTTTAAAATTTGTATTTAAATACATTGTATTTATTTTCAATTGGTCTAGTTGAATTGTTCACCTATATTGCATATGATCCATCACTATATAATTAAGTTACAATATAATTTATATTTTATATGGATGCTACCTTTAAGAAAATTGAGATGTAGTAGAGTAGGTGTCCCGTATCATAGATTTGGGAGCGGGACCCACAAGACCCTTGCACCGACCCTGAAGTTGGTATACGAACACAAGTAAAATAAAGTTTTTGAATACTGATTTTCTAGCTTAACAAGTTCTTACCACTTCAAAACTTGGTTCAACACTATTTTCTTTTTTCATATTTCCTTCTATCTCCATTTGACCTTTAGCTGTGCTAAGTTGAATTTAAAAATATGGAGATTAAAAAATCTGCTCACTGTTTGAATTTCTAGGATGAGGAATTAGAATTATTTACACTATTTACATTTTCTAAATACCTTCATATTTATTGTTATTATTAGAACGTTTCGAGCGATGCGCCTTCCAGACTTCTTCATTAACTTTCAGGGAATTTCGAACCGAAACATATTTAATCTACAGTGGTAGATTGTTCTCGTCTCGCTGTCCATGTCTAGGAAATATCTTGTCAAGTTCATATTTAGTACTGCTCAGATGGTGCTCACTGTTTCCAATGAAATACTCGACCCAGGGATTGAACTCACACTTACTATATCACCAAAATTCACGAACCAACACTTTAATCTACTTAACCCAGAACTTGAAGCCTTAAACTTAATGATTTCCTATCCTGCCTGCTGCTGACACTACCACGCGGCTTCTCTTTTCTTACTGTAATAATTGGAAAGAGAAAACAATAATTTATTAAATACATCTCTATCCAGTCGATCTAAATGGCCATCTTTGACTTTGTGAGCCTGTTTACCAATGGTAATACTACCAGTTTCCTTATAAAAGAAACTTTATGTGCAGGTTTCTAAATTTTCTTGAGAAAATTGTTCAGAAAATGTAATTGTATAATAACCTATTTTATCCAACTCTTGAGTGTAACAATTATTTGCTTTATGGCCAACAATTTAGTAAGATTGTTTTGTGTTAGGCTGGAAATAAAGACCTGTTGCATTTCTTGAAATGATCACTTTATGGGTTCTTTTTCAATACTTACGGTAAAATAACTTAATTTTTAAATGTTTTTGTTTTTATCTTTTTTTTGTGTGTGTGTGGGGAGAATCGGATTACTTCATATCAGAGTGGGTACATGCAGTGTATAACTAAACCCAGTTGAAGCAGCAACTAGGCCCGAACTATATTGAGGGACTAGCGAAGAGAAAAGGTACACTCAATATCCGGGCAGCAAAACAAACAATACATGCAGTCTCGCTAGCTCTCTGAATCCAGACACGGATCGCTAATCAAGGCCATCCGCATTCATCCTCACAACTAAAGAACCAAATGCTATAGTACATTTTACAGTTTTATCATTAAAATGAGTTTAAATCAGGCATATACCAGACACTTTGTTGTTTTACTTAAAAAAAAAAGGGGGGGGTACTCTTCAGCAAGGAATATTCGTTCTCTGTATAAAAATGACACTTTAAGTGCCTAGATGTGCTCTTAATCTCGGAGGTTAACCAAATATTGATCTCGAGGTTGGACGTTGGTTGGAGTAAAAGAAACGAACTTGGGCATTTGTATGGATACATGACAAAAGATTTATTTTTATATACAAGTTATAAAAATGTCTCTGGTAAGTGGTATACTGTAGCGAGTCGAATGTGCAGTGTACTAGGTGAGAACGTGAAAAGGGGGTATGCTTAACCCCGACTAAATGCTTGTTAATTATCGCCTTGTGCTTGTCGCATTGATAGGGTCCATTCATTTACCGTGTTTACAGGAGGCCGTTTACAAAGCCTAATGGTCGGTCGGGCAGTCAGCTGCGCGTTCGTAAAGTCTGTCACTGTCTCAATATTTATTGTTTTATACAAAACAAATAAGGCACAAGGCCAACAAGGGGGATTGGGGAATGATGGTCTTCTTCTGTCATTAATCCAAAACTTAGCTAGTCACAGACACTGACCCAGACATGCCAACAATAAACCAATCACCAAAACATCACATTCACTCCTACCATTCTTACTACGACCACCATAATACCTCAGTTTCTCTATGACGTCCTAACTAGTCCCCATATGTACAAAGTATTGTTCATGGGGGGAGGGTCATAAAATTAACAACTTTTAAAAATTCCCCAAATGAGTATTTACAGAATGAACTAAATATTTACAATAAAACTAAACAAAACTGAGTTAGTAATAAAACCCCCCACAAACTATGAATGCGGCAGAAATGTCAGTTAACTAGACGAAATCGATGCGGGACTAAGCAAATAAGTAGACATTCAGACCATCAAGCATTCACACAAACACTCACTCATTCATACACAGTCTGTCACTGTCTCAATATTTATTGTTTTATACAAAACAAATAAGGCACAAGGCCAACAAGGGGGATTGGGGAATGATGGTCTTCTTCTGTCATTAATCTAAAACTTAGCTAGTCACAGACACTGACCCAGACATGCCAACAATAAACCAATCACCAAAACATCACATTCACTCCTACCATTCTTACTACGACCACCATAATACCTCAGTTTCTCTATGACGTCCTAACTAGTCCCCATATGTACAAATATTGTTCATGGGGGGAGGGTCATAAAATTAACAACTTTTAAAAATTCCCCAAATGAGTATTTACAGAATGAACTAAATATTTACAATAAAACTAAACAAAACTGAGTTAGTAATAAAACCCCCCACAAACTATGAATGTGGCAGAAATGTCAGTTAACTAGACGAAATCGATGCGGGACTAAGCAAATAAGTAGACATTCAGACCATCAAGCATTCACACAAACACTCACTCATTCATACACAGTCTGTCACTGTCTCTCCCTTGATGTCCTACGGTCCGGGTTCTTATAGCTTATCTAAGGGAAACGCGCGGACGTAGTTGAAAGCATCTGTGACAAACGAGATTCGCTTTAATAATGGCTAGCGGTCGGATATATTTATGTTTCTTTTAAAATTTGTTTTGAGTTTAGTGCGACGTGATGTTAACTTAGCTAGACGAAAATTGGTGTATAGTAAGAAATATGTTTTCTTATAATCGTATAGATTTGGTTTTAATTTGTTAACGACGTGTAAAAAAGATTGTAGTTTTTCCGCTACAATGCGAACGTTCGTTTGGCCAGTTTCGATCAGGCAATTTTTCCATCAAAGGTTTCTCTTGACTTGGACGATGACGTTCTATCAATATTTGGTTTCTACAAACTATTGTCAAGGAAGATCCCGAATTAGTAAAACAGTTCAATGCAAGTCACACTTCGATCAGAAAACATTCATAAACTGCTTGCTATTGGAGAGTTGAATTATTACCGAACCATTTGTGGGTAGAATGGCTACTAATGATTTAAAAATAAAAGGGGGTGGGGTTAAAGCTTCTCTATAATCACATACAACGAAAATGATAATGGTGAGCGTCCACTGAGAAAGCGTACTCCACCTCCAAACCAAGTTATCTGAGTTTTGTGTGACATGAAGGGTTTCGCCTATCACGAAGTGATAAAACGAAACAGTTAATGCAAACAAAAACCGTCGTCAATTGAAAGTATTGCACAAAATTTGCAGAAAATTGTAAAGGCCTGTTGCTCTTAGACAATAACGCAAGACCACATATTGCCCGAGTCACTCAGCAAAAGATTATGGGACTAAAAATCTAAACGTTTTGCCTCCTCATCCTTCTTACTCTCTTGACTTTACCCCCATCTTTTCAGGTAATTGTAACAATTTTAGAGGAAAATATCGTTTATTAATTGAAGTCAAAACTGATATCGAATGTTTGTTTGCATCGAAACCTGACAAAATTTGCAACCGAGGAATCAACAATTTGCCAAATAGATGAGATTGTGCTATCGATAATAAGGAGAAGTATTATCTTAATTAAATATAACAAAGCCAAAGAAGCCTTTGTTTCTTTTCTACTTTCGGCACTTTTTCAACTTAATAATTACATACCTTATCCTCTGGCCAAGGGTCATTGATGATATTCTTTCGTTGGTAATAATAGGCAGCTCCGGCGACATGTGCTGCTGTTTGAACTAAAATCAGTGGGTGTCCTCTGCCAAGCATAATATGAGGGTACAAGATATCTTCGTCGGTAACATTCTGGTAATGAATAACAATTAATAAAAAATAACGATAAATATTAACATTAATATTGTTATATTGATGTTAATTTAATGTAAAATAAAAATTACCAACAGATCCATTCATTTATAATTTATCTTCATAATGCGTTTCAAAAATCAATTTTCTTGATTTTTCAGCTAAAGTTAACTAACATCGATCTTAAAAATATCATTACGCTGTAAATTTCTAATTTTTAAATTTCTTTTCGAATAGTATTCAACCTTTTAATTGGGTAGTTTAATTAGTTCACACCCACACACTATATATATATATATATATATATATATATATATATATAAGAAACAAAACAACTTTAAGGGTTTATGGAATTATAATTTATCTCCTTAGGACCGGGATTTTATTCCTAATTCTTCAGATCTCCATCTTCATACAAAAGTACGGATGACAAATTTCTCACGACTTAAAAATTTACATATCTTTAATTTATGCACACGTGTTTGAGGAGACAGACGATAAATGTGATCGAAATTAAAGAGGGAAAGGAGAGATAGGAAGATCTTTATGTTTACCTTTATTAAGATAAAAGACTAGACATGTTGACCTATTTATCAAATCTTTTCACAGCAAAAAAAAAGTAAATTAAAGAAAAGAAGGTGAAGAAAAAAAAAAAAAGAGATAAGACAGAATAGAAAACAAATATGGAAATGGCGGTGTGGGGACAAATTATTATACAGGTTGGACTCCAACGAAATTTTAAAATACAGATTAATACAATTTACAATTAAATCACTTGACATTATTTTAAAGAATACCAACAATGATAAAAAAATAAAACAATATAAAATTAAATATTAATAAAAACTAACAATTAAAAATTAAAATTTCAAAAACATTTTTTCCAAAAACAACTATCTCCAACTATTCAAATGTAATGTCAATCGACATCTCCAGTTGCCTTGATCTATCCACTGTTCTTCTCCTCATCCTTTCCTCTATCACTCCTATCTGATCTTGCTCCAAATCTTCTGTAATCCCTTGCGTCCTAGTGGCTTCCCGCCTTGCTTGGGGTGAAAAAAAAAAAAAAAAAAAATGCAGTAGCGTTTAATTTATTTTTTTGAGTGAGGTACGACAATTTATGGATGTTCTAGTAGCATAAGGGCTACCGGTGCATAAATGAATTTATATATATATATATATATATATATATATATATATATATATATATATAGGGATCGTGGTTGTCCCCACACAGTAACATGGATTCACACACACACATAGTTTAAATTTGTTTTATCTTCGCTTGTGTATAAGAAAAATGAAATGTGTATATTTACTTACCAGGTGTAACTTCTCCATCAAGTTACGTTGCACTTTTTCCATGTAGTACTTGGAAAATAGCGGCCATGAGTCGTTAGCAACACTGACTCCTTCTTTGCAGAGGAATGGTATAAATGCATTCTCAAAGACTCCTGGAATTGTGAATGTGGACAGAGCCACCGTATCACTACTGTATGGCAGGTCAAATTGTGAATCCACCAATGTGTTGTACCAGCCAGTCTAAAGATAAAGATGATGAAAGGCAAGTGAAATATTTGCATAAAATATTAGATAAATACCGTTGAGTCGATCGATGTTTTAGAAATAAAATGTCTTTGCTTTTAACTGGTGAAAAGACAGCAGCTCAGAAATATTTAATACCAATACCTATTGGTGATGAAACGGTTATTTTTGACATTATTTTAAACAATTAAAAACTTAATAAAAATAACAAAACTAATATTATTAATAACAACTAACAATTAAAATTTAAATACCATTAATATTTTCATGTGTACGTCAAATTTTAAGAAAACTCATTTACAACTGTTTAAATGTTACTTTCATTCAAGATGACTGGCTATTAAAAATAAAAACGTAATTTTAGATTGCAACAAATGTGGCAAGCGCCTTTTTATAAACAAATCTCACAAAATGAAATAAATTAATGCGATAAAAAAGAAAGGATAGTCATAACGTTCCAACTTAGTTTTTAATCATTTCACCCCAAGCAAGACGATAAAAGCCACCAAGACGCAAGACTGTAAGAACGTGAAAAATGTAACGAAACAATAAAAATTCCTGAATGAGAAAGCATGTCAGTAGAACTTTTTTTAATCATTTCACCCCCAAGCAAGGCGATAAAACCACTAAGATTCAAGGTGTTACTGAGAGTAAAACAAAATGAGAAAGTGTTATTGAAGAGAAAGGACAATAAAAAGAACAGGATTCAAGGAAACAAAAGATGGCGAGTGACGTTGTATTTAAATTTTTGAAGATCGTAAGTGACAAAAAAAGGAAGAAGCTGGAAGAAAGTTGCGCAAGCGAGGAATGCGTGAGAAGAAATTATTAACATAGAACTTGCGGTTACATGTATCAATTTCAACTGTAAAATGATTAGACCTAGCTGTGCTTAAATTCGTGAAGTTCAACTACCAACGAGGAAAGTTCATTAGAACAATTGCCATGAAAATATTTATAGAAATGAAACATGGAAGCTACGTTACGGCGGGAGAAAGGGATTGAGGCCGAGATGCCAGGCCAAGCCGATAGCATTGCAGATTCTTTCTTTGGATTCTGTCAAGCACCAGACCAGATGTTGCAGCAATATTCGATGCACAGACGAATGGTAAAATTATTATTCTGTTTTAAAATTGTCTAGCACGACACAATGGACCAAATTTACTAGGCACGGATTTAACTGAATTTAATATTTAATTAGATCTTTGTTTTATTAGATATTTAATTAGCTTTGCTTAAAGTTTTTCATGGACACTATAGTGGCACATCCAGTGAGAATCGAACTCACTACATAAGACAAAACTAGTAGACAGCTAGTCCTCACTTTGCAATATGTAACGAAACTTATTCGAATCCTGATGAATAGGACGCATAACAGAATTAGACCGAAAATAGGACATTGTGGTTTCGTTAAAGACAATAGAACAAGGAATGTAATATTCAGACAATTCAGAATTATATCAGACAGATCAATGCAGATATAAAAAAGGTATATGCCTATGTTTTATGGATTATGAAAAATCATTTGAATCAGGTACAGCATTAAGAACTGATTGGACAGCGATGTAAGCTTGATTTATTTGGGGAAAGATTTTAAATACACTCCATAAATATACAAATAGTAAAAGGAGCGTGTGTCTTCTCACCGGACTTATTCAACCTTTACAGAAGGTGAAATCCTACCAAGATGTATTACTGGTGGACACAATCTTACCAAAATAAGATATGCAGATGATATCGAATTGATAGCAGACATAGAAAGGAAACTGTAGAACCTACTACTACAAGAAAGTGAGAAGAAAGGACTAAACACCAATTGTAAGCACAACGTATGATTGTCAGAAAGAGAAACAGACCAAGATGCAAACGATGAATTAGGAAAATTCGAAAGTTATTCGAATATGTGGGAATTGAAAAAAAATGAAATCAAAGTCCGAAGGCTCGTTGTAATAAGAGATACTTTCCAAAAGCTAAACATTAAGAAATAGGAAAACCTCTTTGAAAACAAAGAAAAAAGTGTTGAAATGCTAATGTAGCGTCCAGTCCTTCAATATGACAATTAATACTGGACTGTCTCTTCACAGATGAAGAGACTTGAGGTAACAGAAATGTGCTTTTACCGAAGAATACCGAGGCAAAAGGGACAGAGGAAAGCAGAAAGCTTCTGTAAATGCATACAAAAACAGTGAATCTTGGAGAGATAAAAGACAAACTTTACTAAGAACAAAGTATGGGAACCTGTGGAGAGTCATGATGACCGATTACTATTTTTTATTATAAAAGTATGACTTAAATTAGTACATGTAGTAGACTCGGGGTAGGGATTCGTTTAGAGCAAGTGTTGTCAACCGTTTTCATCATATGGACACTTTTTCGTTATTTTTCCAGTTAATCGCCCATGACCATTTGTAAAAATATAAGTTAAAATATTTTACTTACATTACTTTTTAATGTGATCTTTGTGGTTGATACTTTGCCGTTAGAAATTTAATATTTGTTTGGAAATTTGTAAGTTTTAGCCTTATGTCTCCTCGAGTACATATATCAATTTTATTTCTTTGGTCAAGATTTTATTGATTGCACTTAATCCACGTTCAACCGAATAAGAGGTTAGCAATATTTTAGCCATTTCAAACCACATGTTCTGATACAGCTGTTTCGCTGTATTTGACAGTCATAATTTTGTTGTTCCGTGCTTTCAAATTTGTACTTGTATTCATCATTGTGTTCTTTCTTGCAGATTTTCTTCCTGCATATTTTCACTGACAGCTTCTATGTCACAACCGAAAGGATCCATCAACCACGGATGGACCTCTAACGAAAATCAATCTGAAAATCGGCTACTTAATTCTTTTACTTTCACTAAATATTCTGCGTACTTTTTACTAATTTGTTCTGAGAGGTGTTCATTTCTACTAACTTGGGCATATTATTGAAATTCTTCTTGTGTATATTAACTCGAAATAAGTCTATTTTTTCAGATTTTCAAATGCTTTCGGAACACGTTCTCAATCTAGCAATGTATCTAATTTGCCTTGAATTTGAAGTGAAACTTCATTGAACTTTTGAATATTCCATATTGAAAAGTAAATGTTACTTCGATATGGATAATAAGTCTTATATGCTGTTTTTCATTATCAATACAAAACTTTCGAAAAAGTTTTTCATATTGCTGTGAGATTTTCTTTTAAAGATTGTTTTAATAACTACTGCCAATGACTCAGGGCTAATATTTTTGGCGACTAAATGCCACACAATGTACAGCAAGAATAGAAAGAAATATATTTTAAGTGCGCAATAAATCCCTTGTACTTACCAAACATAGATGGAGTAACATCCGTTGCACAGAATACTAAATTTTCAAAAGTTACTTGATTTTCGTCAAAATTTTAAATTTTTCGTCAAACCAAGATATTGCAGTTTCAAAAATGGATAGTTCAGGTGTTATCTATTTCTAAAAGTTTCACGAACAACTCTTCACACAGTTTACAGTAATCATCTATATAACGAACATAAGAATAGCTCTATTACTGCTTATCTTAGATTCATCAATCTGAACTGAGAATTTTTTTTTTTTTAATAGTTGACTTCATATCTGCTGACATTTCATCAATTCTTACCCGGATTGAATCATTGCTCAGTGGCAATGCTTTTAAGACATTTGCCGAATCTTGTTGCAACAGTTTTCATGAGAATTTCAAAGGAACGATTAATAACTTTTTCATCATGTATGTTCACTTCCGGTTTTGTCAATTTCTTGCGTTATCTCATAAGATTTCATTTGTTTCTTTAGTTCCTTTATCAAATAAGATAGAGTATTTCATCGGTTAAAGTTTTTCCTTTAAATTTTCAAAATAAGGAATAGGTTTGTTCACTTTGCCGGTATGTTTGCTTTTTAAATGTTCTAAAAACCTTGGTTTCATCGTTTCATTAGAAAATGAGCTGTTGCAAATAAGACATATTTTGTCTTTGGTCAAACGGGCTTTCTACAAAACCAAATACTCCTCTACATACTGTCTACATTTCATTTTGGCACTCATGATTAATGAAAAAAGGGCTAAAAATATACGCACCCCTCCGTCAGGAAAACTTAACTTCTATTTTAAAAATATAAATAAAAAGATAATTTTTTTTAATTTTTAAAATCAATATAATGATTATAATTGTTTTATTTTTAAGATTAATACATATATGGATCAGTTATAACAAATGTATATAAGAGAAGGAAATTGAGCATAGAATAGGTTGCGCTAGGTGTACTTCCGCCCAACACCGGAAGCTACAAAACCAAATCATTAACCTGAAAACTAGTGTTCTTTTCTTAAATAACCTCATCAGATAGAAACTTTCATATGGATGTCCTACATGGCGTCAAAATTATTCAGAAATATCTAAAGTGTTAACCGTATACAACCGCTTTTTCAGATCGATGTTTAAGGGTGGCTTCAAGCGAATAAAGCTTGTAGGTCCAAGTGAAGAACATCCTTATTAAAGCCTCATGGACTGGCGCTACAGAATCTCAAACAAAGAACTGTACCAAATAAGAGAAACAACATCACTTCAGAAATTTCAAAAGTAGCAACAGCTAAACTGGATATCACATGTAGCTCGAAGGTCAAATGACAAAAGATGTTAATGTTTCACACTACTTTAAATAAAATGGTTAGGAAGGAAACCCCCATCAATATTGGAAAGAGCAATAAGAGTTACTGAAACTAAGAAACCTATTTTCTATTTTAATAGAAAGATTTTATAAATTTCAACGAGAAAATAATGACATAATCAAGATGTTGATGTCTACACTACTTCGAACAAAAGGTTAGGACAGAAGCCTCCCCCCCCCACCAATCAATACTGGAAAGAAGGATAACAGCCACTGAACTTGAGAAACTTATTTTCCTGAAAAAAATGTTTTCAGGGAATGATTATATAAATTTCAACCGACAGCAGAACTGGCTGTTCGGTCAAGGAGTTCCCATTGTGTCCTTTTTAAGGAAACA